CTGATGTGCAATGACTTAATCAATCATGTTTACATGATGAAACCTCCATAAAAACTCCCAAAGAACAAAATACAGGGAGCTTCCAGACAGCTGAACACATAAAGGTATCTAAAGAGTAGTGTGTCCACTCAAGAAGTGGGAACTCCGTGTCCCTTCTATGCAGCTCTTCATTTGGTTGTTTATCTGTACCTTTTGTAATAGCCTTTATAATAAATGGGTAAATGTAGCTAAAGTTCTGTGGGCTGCTCTAGCAGGTTAGTCAAACCCAAGGAAGGAATCATGAGGACCTCAATTAGTAGCCTGTTGGTCAGAAGCAGAAATCACAACCCGAGGCTTGCAAGTGGCATCTAAAGTGGGAGGGGAACAGTGTCATAGGCCTGGAATCTGTGGAATCTGAAGTTATCTCCAGGTAGACAGTGTCAGAACTGACCAAATTAGAGGATATACAACTAACTGGTGTCCTCTGTAGAATCCACTGGAAGACTGTTTGGTTTGTATGTGGGAAAATAGTCCTTACACATGGGGGTAAGTATTCTGTGTTGAATGTTGAATGTTAGGAATAAGGAAATATGGGTTAGGGTTGTGGCTCAGTGGTAGAACACTTGCCTAGCATGTGTGAGGCATTGGATTTGATTCTCAACGCTGCATATAAATAAATAAAATAAAGTTCATTTTGACAACTAAAAAAAAAATTTTTTTAAAGAAAAGGAAATATACCACCTTGGTTGGTTTTTCTTATGTCATCTTTAGCAAAAATAACTCAATACATGTCAGTAATAGTAATAAATGTAAAAGGATTAAACTCACTAGTTGAAATGCAGAGATTCTCAGATTTTTTAGAAGAAAAACCAACCATTTGCTTTTTAAAAGAAATATCTTTAACAAAACAAACAAACAAATAAGAAATATCATTTTAAAAGGATGGAAACTACCTACCTAAATAAGCTACCTAAAACTTGTGTGTGTGTGTGTGTGTGTGTGTGTGTATGTGTGTGTGTGTGTGTGTGTGTGTACACTTGCTGATGCAGGACCTCATGTATAGGACCTCAGGCACGCTGGGCAAGAGATTTATCACAGAATATACTCCCTCCTAAAACTAACACTTACACAGAAGTAAACTAAAATAAAACTGATGTAGGTACATTCTTATCAGACAAAACTGACTTAAAAAAGTAAAAGCATCACTAGGAAAAGACAGTATTATCTTGGAATGATAAAACAAGTAGTTTACTAGATGGTTATAAACATTCCTGAACTTTTATGTCCCCAACAATATGGCTTCAAAATATTTATGACAAAATGGCTAGATTTACAAAAATAAATTGATGATTTCTAATCATAACCTGGAAATTTTAATATGCTGCTTTCAGGAACTGGTCTGAAACTCATCAGCCTCTGCCATAGCAACCATTGAAGGGCAGCAGCCATGGCTCTGCCCACACCACAGTCATGGGTTTCAACAAGGGCCACAAGGAGACCAAGCAGTGAACAGACTAAGGCACACATGCTGCTGCAGGCACCTGATCAGGCACACACCAAGTATGTGGGGAAAGTGATCAAAGAAGTGTGTGACTTTGCCCTATATGAGTGGTGAGCCACAGAACTTCCTAAGGTCTCCAAGGACAAACAGGCCTTCGAATTCAAGAAAAGGGTGGGGACACTCATCTGTGCCAAGAGGAAGCAAGACAGCTGAGCAATGCCTGGCTGTCGTGAGGAAAGGAGCTGCCAAGAAGGGCTAACTCCCATCTCCCCTCTGCACATGATAGGTCCTTTACAGGAAAGAAAGAGAGAGAGAAAATGGAATGAAAAAGACTGATAAAGTGGACAAAAGAAAATTAGAAAGAATGTTTAAAATTTAAGTTGATTTAACCAAAAGACATATAATACTCTATACTCAATAATTCAATATTACACATTCTTTCTAAGCATTTGTGGAACATTTACAAAAGTAGACCCCAATCTAGGTCTCACAGAAGTCTCAACAAGCATAAAATCATTTCTTTCATCCAAACTACATTATCTGTCTAAAATACAACAAAATTAGAAATCCTTTAGCAAAAACATAACCACTAGGCATGGTGGCACATACCTGTAATCCCAGTGACTTGGGAGGCTGAGACACAAGGATTTTGAGTTCTAAGCCAGCCTCAGCAATTTAATGAAGCCCTGAGCAACTCATTGAGACCTTGTCTCCAATAAAATATAAAAAAGGGCTGGTAGGATGTGGCTTGGTGATTAAGCACCAATCCTTATTAAAAAAAAAAAAAAAAAAAATATATATATATATATATATATATATATATCACCTTATCACAGTGTACCTCTAATATAGTGTCATTGTTTGGATAAATGTCCCCAGAGGCCTATGTTAAAGTCTAAGTCACCAACCTATGTAATTATTGGAAGGTGGTAGAAACTTTAAGAGTAAGGACTTGGTGGAAGCAAGTTGGGTCATTGGGGTGTGCCCTTGAACGGAATATGAGGATCCCAATTCCTTCTTCTCTCTTTGCTTTCTGGCTTCTATGAGGTGAGCAGCTTTCTCTATCACATGCTTCCACCATGATGTACATTCTGGCCATAAGCCCAAAAGTGATGGACCAACTAACCATGAATTGAAATCTCCAAAACTGTGAGTCAAAATAAATCTTATTTATTGATTTATTTATTTGTTTATTTGTTTGTTTGTTTGTTTGTTTTGTACTGGGGATTGAACTCAGGGGCACTCAACCACTGAGCCAGCCCTATTTTTTGTATTTTATTTAGAGACAGGGTCTCATTGAGTTGTTTAGCACCTCGCCATTGCTGAGGCTGTCTTTGAACTTGAGATCCTCTTGTCTCAGCCTCCCAAGCTGCTGAGATCGCAGGCGTGCACCACTGCGCCCAGCTCCAAAATAAATCTTTACTAGTTTTTATTAACTCAGGTATTTTGTTACAGTATCAGGAAGCTGACCAATACATGTAGTTAGATATCAATTAAGAAATTATGATGAAAAATGTTCCATATTAGTAACTAAATGACAATCAAGTTACCATATAACAAAGCAGCTAAAGTGCTTTTGAAGACAAATTTATAACTTTAAATTCATATGTTAGAAATAAAGTTTAAAAAAATAATTTGCACACAATTAAAGAAGTTAGGAAAAGATCTACAAGGTCATATCACGAAAAAAGAAAAGTCCAAAGACAGGCACAGAAGTCAGACATGGTAGTGCATACCTGTAGTCCCAGCTACTCAGAAGGCTGAGACAGGAGGATTGTAAATTTGAGGCCAGTCTAGGATATTTAGGAAGAACTTATTTCAAAATTTTTAAATTTTTTCAAGAAGGTGGGGAAGGTAGTTCAGTGGTATAGCACTTGGTTAGCACAGATAAGGCCTGGTTCAATTCCCAGCACCACAAACACACACACAAACACAAGGCACAGAAGTTAATAAAATAGCAAATAAAGAATAAGAATATCAATAACATAGACTTGTTTTGTTTTTGTTTTTTTTTCTTTTTGAAAGATTAACATAACAGACAATAATAAACAATATCAGAAGTGAAAAGATCTACATGATTGCTACAGTTCAGGTCTTAAATGTTCCCCAAAGGCCCTGAGTTAAAGGCTTGGTCTCCAGCTTGTGATACTGTTGGGAGGTGGTGGAACCTTTAAGAGGCCGGGCCTAGTGGAAATAGGTGAGGTCATTGGGGGTGTGCCCTTGAAGGAGATGATGGAACCCTGTCCTCTTCCACTTTCACTCTTTGCTTCCAGGATGCCAAGCAGTGAGCAGCTTTGTTCCACCACCATGGAACAAAGGCACAAGGACAATTGACTGTGTACCGTAACCTCTGAAACTGTGAGCCAAAACAAACATGTCTTCCTTTTAAGTTGTTTATCTCAAGTATTCTGTCACAGTGATAGAAAACAGTCTAATGCAATAATGGAGTAAATTTTAAAATAATAAGAAAATACCATAACCAACTTTATGACAAGATATATGAAAGGTAGGGGCTGGGGATGTGGCTCAAGCGGTAGCGCGCTCGCCTGGCATGTGTGCGGCCCGGGTTCGATCCTCAGCACCACATACCAACAAAGATGTTGTGTCCGCCAAGAACTAAAAAATAAATAAATATTAAAAATTCTCTCTCTCTCTCTCTCTCTCTCTCTCTCCCTCCTCTCTTTTTAAAAAAAAAAAAAAAAGATATATGAAAGGTAAATAATTAAACAACTTTTTTTTTAATTTATTTTTTTTATTTTTATTTTTTTAATATTTATTTTTTAGTTATCGGCGGACACATCTTTGTTTTGTATGTGGTGCTGGGGATCGAACCCGGGCCACACGCATGCCAGGCGAGCGCGCTACCACTTGAGCCACATCCTCAGCCCAATTAAACAACTTTTTTTAATATTTATTTTTAGGTGTAGATTGACATAACACAATGTCTTTATTTTTTTATGTGGTGCTGAGGATCAAACCCGGATCCCGCCTGTGCTAGGCAAGCACTCTACTGCTGAGCCACCATCCCAGCCCCAGTTAAACAACTTTTTGGAAAATATAACCTACCATAATTGAGTCAAGAAGAAATAGAAAATATCAGGAGACTTCATAAATCAGTGAAAAGTTGAATCAGTAATTTAAAAATCTAACAATAAGAGAACATTGAGAAATTATTTCTTGGCAGTCAGATTAACCAAACTCAAAATCTCTGACAATGTCAAGAGTTGTCAAAGACAAAGGAAAAATAGAATTCTCAAACTCAGATATGAGAATGAAAATTGGTGCCATCACTGAGAGAGCAATTGGCAATATGGCTAAAATTATACATCTATACATACGTTATGCCCCAGCAATTCTACTTCTAGGAATTTGTTCTAAAAAAAAGTCTGGCACATGCATACAAGAACAGATGCACAAAACTGGCCATCATAGTATCTTTTGATATGGTTTAAAAAAAAAAGAAAAAGAAAATAGAAAGTTCTGTTAATTTCTATTAGGGAACTAGATGAATAATACCTACAGTTAACCCTCTGTATCCATGGCTTCCACATCTGAAGGTTCTACCGAGAACTGAAAAAAAAAAATTGAGAAAATAATTGCATCAGTAGTGAACATGGATAGACTTTTTTCTTATCATTATTCCCTTAACAATACAGTACAACAACTGTTTATATACCCTTTGTAGTGTAGTAGGTATTATAGGTAATCTAGAGATGATTAAAGTATACAGGAGGATGTGTACTACAACATTTTATATAAGAAACTTGAGCATCTGCAGATTTTAGTGTTCCTGAGGGGTCCTGGAATCAATCACCTGCAGATACCAAGAACAACCACATATGTATATGCATCTTACCAGATGTTGGGGGTTCACTACATAGTGGGGAAAATGAATGAACCTAGGGACATATTTCAACATAGATAAATCAATCTCTCTCTCTCTCTCTCTCTCTCTCTCTCTCTCTCTCTCTCTCTCTCTTTTGGTACTATATCCCCAGCCTTTTAATATTTTATTTAGAGATAGGGTCTCACTGAGTTACTTAGGATCTTGCTAAGTTGCTGAGACTGCTTTTGAACACGCAATCCTCCTGCCTCAGCCTCCCACACTGCTGGGATTACAGGCATGTGCCACTGTGCTCGGCTCAACATAGCTAAATCTTTAAAATATAACCTTGAAAAATAAGCTGCAGGGCTGGGGTTGTAGCTCAGTGGTAGAGCACTTGCCTAGCATGAGTCAGGCACTGGGTTCAAATCTCAGCACCATATTTAAATAAATAAATAATGAAGGCCCATTGGAAAATGAAAAAAAAAATTTTAAACAAGTTGCACAGTGTAATAAGTATATAAAAGTGTTAAGAATACCCAAAATAATAATATCCCTTGTGGACTCAGATAAATAGATAAATACATGGATAGTTTTAAAACCTGGACTGGAAGATTCAAACCAGCTCAAAGATAGTAGATTCTCTAAGAAAAAGGGAAGGAAATGGGACGGGAAGGTATTCAATCACATCTCTAATATTTTATTTCGTTAAGGAAAAATAAACTCAAATGTGTCCATTCATATCCATGAGCAGTTCATGGATATCCATTAGTATATGTATTCCCTTCATGTGCTTGAAATGTTGTGACACATTTTAAAAATAGGGAAAAAGAAATAGTACCTGCTCTGTCTTCTTTTATAAACATCTAAGATATTTTTCTAGTGTTCTGTAAACAGCTGTCCTGACAGTGGATGTCCATGACAGAGCCTGGGGCCGGGTGGGGAGCCAAGCCTGAGCCTCTCTTGCCTGCAGTTCCCACAAGGTCAATGTTAAGATCATTTCTAAGAGGGACTGCTGACTTTAGCTCACATGTCATGTCAAAAATGAGTATAGTAGAAGTATGGACAGCCACTCAGGAGTGGAGAAAGGGGGCCAAAAGGAGGCACAATGTCCCGGGGAGATGAAAATGGGATCCCAGGGATTTAAAGACACAAAGAGGGAGGCAGTGAGAACAAATTCTGGAGATGAAGATGGAGGTCAGTGACAGGCAGATTGGTACAGCAGCTTTATGGGAAGGGTCCAGAAAGGAGCAGGCGGGAGGCAGAGGTGTCACTATGTCTGTGAGAAGTGTTACTTTGCAGTTTTGTGACATTAGTTTCCCTTGTTCCGGTGGCTTTATTGAGGATGCTTCTTGCTCTGGATTCTCAAACTCCCTTACAAACATTTCGCTTTGTGTTGCAGAGAAGAAGAAAAAAAGGTTATATTTGTTGTTGATTAAGAGTATGGACACCAAGGTCAATCACACTAGAAGCTGATTTCTGGCTCTAAAACACAGTAGCTGTGTGCTCTTGGAAAAGTTGTTTTAATTTCTCTGAACCTTCACTTTCTAGCTGTAAGATGGAGTCATAGAGAGGCCTCTAGCACAACGATGTTAAGGAAATAATTAGCAGCATGGTGCCTGGCACATGAAACACTGAATAAGTGTTGACTGTTTTCTGGGAAAAAATAATAATCATATCATGGCTCTATGTACTGTGAGTCATCTAAAAAGAAAGAATGCACTTCAGCAAATGTAGACTCTTTTCTTGTTCTAGAGCAGCCTCCGGAGAGATCATTCTAATGACCCAACTAACAAAAGGCAATTGGTCCTTTCCAGGCCAGTCCCTTTGCAAACAAATGCTCAGTGTGGGTTTCCAGGCAGAGGGCCCTTGCCTCTGCTGTTAATCATAGCTGATTACAGAAGCCTTGTCAGACCAGTCCATCAGGACACATGGCTTTAAGAAATCTCTCTTCGTTTCCTGTCTAGCCAAGTGTATAAACTGAGGTAACAGAGGAAATTGGCTCTAACACTTGATTTAAAAAAAAGAAAGAGAATTAAAAGAAACTATATTCTGGAACCAAATAATGGTGATGGTTGCACAGTCTTGGGAATGTATTAGATGTCACTGATGATAAATTTAGATTATGTGTACTTTATCACAATGAGAGAGAGAGGGAGAGAGAGAATGATGCAAAGTTTACCCCTGAAACCTACCACGTACACAGAATTGAGCTACAATTCCAGTAAAGAGCAGAGGAGATAAGTAATCTTGTGTGAACTAACAAGAGCTTAATAAAAAAAATATCATGCATATAAGACAAAAGTAGAGCCGGGTACAGTGGTGCAACTCCAGAGGCTGAGGCAGGAGGATTGCAAGTTCTAGGCCAGCCTCAGCAACTTAGCAAAACCCTCAGCAACTTAATGAGACCCTGTCGCAAAATTAAAAATAAAAAGGGCTGAGCATGTGGCTCAGTAGGTAAGCACCTTTGGGTTCAATCCCTGCTGCAAAAAAAAAAAAAAAAAAATTGTCTGGGTAGAATTTACATTTCTTAAGAGCAGCTTAAAATTTACCAACTCTCCTTTTCCTAGAATTAAAGTCAAACATGGGTTATTTTTAGCTTCATATATTTGAATTGGAAACAAGAATGCGTTAATTAGAAAAACTTCTGACATGTAAGATCTTTTGCTATGTGTTAAAGTATATCCAAAGCGACCAAACTTGGATTAGAATCTCACTTTTGACCTTCAAGGACTAGCTCAGGAAGGAAAATCTCTGTAAGGGAAAGGTCCCAACTCTATCTCAGCAGAGTCATGTGTTGTTTAACGAGGGTGATACAGTCAGAGAAATGTGTGGTTAGGCAATTTCGTTGTTGTGTAAACATTAAGAGTATACTTAATCAAACTAAGATGGCTATGACATGACTAGGCAATATAACCTTACGGAACCACCATGGCACATATGATCCATTGCTGACTGAAATGTCATTTTTCGGTACTCGATTATATATGCAATAGGCATTACTGAGAGATTATGCTGTGCCCAGCACTTTGCTCCACTCATTACAAATGTTATCACATTTCAACATCACAAAAATTGTATGGAGGCAGGTACTTCCGTTATTCACATTTTACAAATCTGAAGTTGGGAGCTATTAAGCAATTTTCCAAAAGTCTCAGTGGTTAAAAGCAGCAGAGGCAGGATTAGAATTCAGGATGGTATGATGCCAAATCTTGTGCTCTTAATACTAGCTATATGGCCTCTCTGTCCCCCCAGTGGAAAACTCAATTTAACCATTTTTGCTCCACCTCCTGGCTCTACTTCCCTCTGGGTTGGCTTTGTTCTTACTAAGGCTTTGTCCACCTGGCAGCAAAATGGCCCACCAGCTCTGGGATTATGTGGTTCTTAGCATCTGTAGTTTCCAAAGGGGAACAGGAAGAACAATAGTCCAAGGGGCACTCTGTGGTAGGTTCCCTGCAAAATGGTTACCAACAATTCTTTCCTTTCCTGTGTGGGCATGTTGCCCCTCCCATCAAAAGGGGGCATCAATTTCCTTTCTTCTTGAACCTGAGAGGGTTTCTTTGACCAATACTCCTCTGAGACTTCTGAGGCCAGGCTTTTAGAAGACTGGTAGCCTCTGTTTCTGCTGCCTTGGAACCTGGCTGCAGTGCCCTAAAGGAAGTCCACTCTACCACTGGAGAAAGACCACACAGGAGGCCTGCAGATGAGATGCCACATAGAAGGAGGCACACAGAAGCACCTCAGCTGTCAGTCATCACCAGAGCCTCAGACCTTCCAGCTCAGCCCAGACACCAGCTGAGCACAGCTGTGGAGTTTACCCAGCCAATGCCAAAGAGGGCAAAAGAGCACTCTGTCAACCCCTGGCATCATGAGAAATCATGAATCAATGTTGTTTGAGGCCACTAAGTTTTGGGGTGGATGGTTACACTGCAATTGGCTTGGCATGGGGGACGCACCTGTTTCTACCTATCATGGTTCTTGGAGCATGCAGCCTCTGATTTGGAAAAGATGTTCTTTATTTGTGTCTTCCCTTGAAAGCTCTGTGAGTATTCATAAAATGCTGGGCAGATGGAAGGAAAAAAAAAAGTAAAAAAAACAAAAAACTGTGTCACTTGTTTTCTGTGGGTTTCTGTTAATGCCGTAGAAAGAACAAGGACTTTGGGGTCAAAATACCAGAATGTGATTATAGGGCTCTTCCTCTTTCTGATATCACTTTTTTAAAAACTTAGAAATAACCTTAATTTTTCCCTTTTGCAGAGATGACGTAAGATTTATTGCACAAACATTCTCTGAGCTTTTTCCAGTAGACCTGACACTATCTATTACTTTGTAAGCTCTTTGAGGACAAGTTCTTCATGCCATCTCTTTTTCTAAAGTTCCAAAAATAATTTTTGAATGAATAAATCATGACAGATCCCGGTGACACAAGGATAAATGCAGAATTGATTTCTGAAAACTCAGAGTTCATGGCAAAGAATGTGTACAAAACTACAAAATGATATACAAAATTTAGTTATTATTGTTTCACCTTTTAAATACAATGATTCCTTAATTTATTCATTAATTTACTACCTCTTGCCACCTTATCCAAGACGATTCGCAGAAGCTTTTAAAAATATCCTTAAAGAAGAGGAAGTGAGGGGAAAGGGAAAATAAAAACAAGGGGGGAGAAATCAATTACAGTAGATAGGGTAGAGAGAGAAGATGGGAGGGGAGGGGAGGGGGGATACTAGAGGTTAGGAAAGGCAGCAGA